TTTTTTTTTTTTTGCTTAGAAGAACGACTTACAAAACAAAAACAGTTATCACAAAGACAATTAAAATTTACTCTAGTATCATTTTAAAGGCACAGCTTGCAATGGTTTACTTCAAGTTTTCGTCCTAATTACAACAGTTAATAAAAGAAAGAAGTTCTTGTTGAATAACAGCTTTACCACGTTAGCACTGCAAGTTATCATCAACTTATTCTCTACTGATACTTTTTTTGCTCACAGCATCTTCAAAAACATTATTTAAAGAAATCTTCAAGTTTTCTAATCTGGGAGTATTATAAACACATCTAAATCTTCATTTTTTATGAGGCTTTTTATGTTTAAACTTGCTTTAGATTGGCTAATCTGACCTTTTTCCATTTTCGAACTAATGTTAGAACCAGAGTTACAGATGCAGCGCTTTTCATTCAACTTCAGCAAAGAACTTCTTTATTTTCTACAAGTATACATTTATTAGATGATCTCTTTGAATGCTTATTTTATGCTCAAACAAGACAACACATCCTGTTAATACATGTAACTGGACATCCACAAGCATATGGGATACACTGCACAGAGTTGCTACATTCTAAAGCGACCAGTTTGCCTCCATTAGGACAAGTTTGAGGCACCTAAAAAGTTCAACAATCTTCAACAACATTCAATTTTATGTATATTGACTTTTTTATGCTTTATAATGCTTTGTATTAGTGTCCTGAAAAGCCTTTGAGAAAGCAGTTAAACCATCTTACCGTGCAGCACAGAGAATTATAACAAGCCACTGGTTGTGTCGTATATCGCGCACATTGAGCAGAATTACTACATCCTCTTGCAACCAACGTACCACCATTTGTGCAGGTTTGAGTTGCAGTATTTGTTGTACAGCACATAGAATTTAAGCAGGTTACTGGTAGTGTAGTATAAGGGGTACATTGTGCAGCATTAGTACATCCCATGGCAACCAAGGTTCCACCATTTGCGCAAGTTTGAGTCGCAGAATTTGTTGTACAGCACAAAGAATTCAGGCAGGTTACTGGTTGCGTGGTATACGCGGTACATTGTGCGGAATTAGTACATCCCCTAGCAACCAAGGTTCCACCATTTGTGCAAGTCTGAGCTGCAGTATTTGTTGTACAGCACATAGAATTTAAGCAAGTTACTGGTAGTGTGGTATACAGCGCACACTGTGCAGCATTTGTGCATCCGATTGCCACTAACGTACCGCCATTGGTACACTGAGCAACGATTTGGAGCGGGAAAGTTATTAGAAGGAATAAGGTATATATCATACTGCTGATGATACCTTGATCACTGTAACTCAAAAGTTTTATGTTGATTATTTGCACACAATTTATTACAGCATGTAATTACTCGAAACGCTGCTTAATTTGGCACGCTGTGTATAATAAAAGTGGAGTACACTATGCTGGCGCTAAGACAAAACTTACGGGTTACTTAACGTGCTGTAGCGAAAAGTAATTTAATACTCTAATCTACAAATAAAATATGCAGCTAGTTTTTAATATAAGGTTCAACATTATAAGGTAACATACAGGCAGCATTTAATAATACAGTTGTACAGTTTGAAAGAAACTTAAAACTTGCATTTGCTCAATATCAGAGAATATCAAAAGCATAATTTTTTGTTATATCTTTTTTTGTTTTTTTCTTATATTAGAATGTAAGCCGAAAAATTTTAAGCTTGTACCTGCACAGCAAATACAGTCTACACTAGGTTTAAATGTGGAAAAAAAAAGCTGAAAAGCCAAAAAAGTAAGGCAGAAAAAATACCAAATATGAATAATCTCAATGTCAAAATAAAAGAGAAGAAGAAATAACTGCATATTTTAAAGGTTGAGAGAAGTACTTTAGGCATTGTACTTTTAATGTATTTCAGTGAAGTTTAAACGTTTTTATTATTGTTTTTTTTTTGTTCTTTTTAGTTTTAAAAAAATGATAACTATGTTTTCTAGGAACTGGTAAGCGGCTTTGTACTTTCCTTAACGGCTTATTTACCACAATTCAAAACTGTCAAACATTAAATTATTTGTTAGAGAATCTCAACCGGTTGATAAGAAGCATTCAATCTACTGATCAATTGATAGGTTTCTTAGGTAACTTTTAAAAGAATGTACAGTAACTGCTTCACAGAAAACGAACAGTTTTTGACTGTCTAACTTAGTTTTTTTAAAACGTTTTAAATTGCCGCTTTATTTCAGAATAGAGATTATCCTATCAATATTTTTCGCTTTTTGCTGCACTCAAAAAGTAAAGTACACAAAATAAGAACGATTTGAAAACAAGTTTAACTGTGTAGTTAAAGTTCCTCTTCAGAAAACATGAAAGTTTTTGCTACATTTTATTAAAAACCCGAAATATTAGGTTCCTCTTTGTTGAGCTTCACGAATTCCTTTTCTGTTTTTTTTTTTATCAGTTTGTTCATCTTTAATTTCAGATATAGCTCTTTAGTACTCACCTCAAGTTTCTTTTCATTTACTTCAAAGGCTTATCACAATCTTTGAACAGGAATAATTCTAATTCACGAAACGCTAAACTGAACTTTTAAATTGGTTTGGGCAGTCTACTAATACAAAAACATATTTTGAAAGAAAAAATGGGTCGAAAAAGAGCAGTAAATTTTGCTAAAAAAAATCAGAATTTGTTCCAGTTTCAGCAATGTTTAATACAGGGTCGCTGTACTGAATAAACCAATTGCGATACTGCAACTTTAACAGATTAAAAGACAAAGAATATTCACAGGTCTTCAGCTGTACGATCACTGAAACTTCATCAGTATTTATATCTTAAAGGTATTAGAAGAGACGGCAACAACGCTTTTTACAGCAGGCGTCAAGCGCTGTGCAGAAGGCTGTAACAACAGTTGGCTGAAATTGGAAAACGCTATTTAAGTGGAAGGTATCTATGAAACAGAGGTCACAGTAATATTGTCAGTTTATTTGTTCAGCTTAGTTGCAGAATCTAAACTTTTTCAGTTATGTTTCACAGCGCAATAATAAATCTCAGTTTGGTAAACGAAATTTTTTAAAAAATGCTTTTACAAAAAACTTGGTTTACCTTCACGGCTTAATTCTATTTAATGCTAGAATTTAGACTTCTAAAGGTATCCGTCATGATTGAGCCTAATCTAGATTGATCAAGATGTAGAACTTCTGATGCAAAATAGATTCTTTGTTATTGTAAAAACTGTTATAGTGGTAATTTCAATTTGTTGTAAATGTGTTGTATCAATTTTTAATAATTTATTTAAATATGTAATGTAATGATACAGATTCCTAAACAGTCATTTATTAAAAACAAATTTGTAACGCACTCTTCACTTAGCTGAATGCACAGCATTATTGGTTGATTTTAGTGATCTTAATAAACAGTACAATCATAAAACCGTTACTGAATTATATTTGTACAAAAGCGTTTTTTTCAATTTTTTTTATACATCTATTCAGACTTGATTTTATTTTTTTGTGCACTTTTTTTTCAAATTCTCATAAGTAACCTAGATTCCTTTTTGAGTTATTGACGTTTTATTTTAGTCTGAAAAAAATATATATCTATATTAAAAAAAAAAAGAAAACTTTTGTTCTGTTCAACGCCAGCACATGAAAATTTTTTGTATTGAGATTTTTTTTCGATGTGGCTAAATTGAGAATAAACTTTATTTTATTTATCGTGAAATTAACTGAAGTCTTCCGTAGTTTCCAGCCATGTAAGCGATGTTATACCTCTGGTAAAGCCAGGATGTATTTGCTGGCTGAAGACGGCCACAGATGAATGCTGACTTGAAGTAATCCAGGTGAACAATTGCTGTACAGGTCAAGTGATTGAATATATCTGGTAGCGTAGCTTGCAGAGATGAAAAAAAATCTATTAATTTGCAGATCCTAAAACCTGTGAAGAGCTATATCTGCTCTAGATCTTTATCTAGCTAGCATAATCATTTGGTTATTTCTAGTACCTCAGAATGGAAACAATACATGGTTCTGTTATATCTGTATAAGACTTTTCTTCTGTAAGTTTGCAGATTGTATAGCAGCATTTGTTAGTAGAAAATGCTCAGGTCAATAGACACAGCCATGAAACCATTCTAACACGCATTTGAAGCAACGCCTTGCGGTCAAATCTTCGCTTTTTATGACTGCTTTTTTGTCTTCATAGCCTTCATTTGAAATTTCTTAATCAGCCAAATTAAATGGTCTTTCCAAAACAAACAAAAAAAAAGAAATTTAATTCCTTCTTCCTGCTGGAAATTCATTTTTATAAAGCTTCTTTTTAATCACTTTTTTCAATCAGTTTATGAAGTTTTTAGGGAAATATATTCATTAATAAGATGTGTGAAAGCAAAATTTTTATTAAAGTATTACATAGAGGTTTTTAAAAGTTTAAGAACAGTTTGAAAATTTCACTCAATCAAATTGTTAATTCTTCTTTATCACCTTTCACCACTAACTGACTAATACACAAAATTATTGGCAAAACTAGTCTTACAGATCACTAAACTGATGTTTTGACAAGTTTTTTTTTTTTGTTTTTGCTCTTCCTTGTCAGTTTCTTGTGGATCATCTCTTACGTTGGTTAGGCGGTAAGAAAATTGGGTAAGAGAAACCCAAGAAAGAAACAAAAAATTAGAATTAGCAAGAGGATAATTACGATTCAAGAGAAGGTTACTGAAAATACATATAAATAACGGCGAAAGCTGTCTATCAGTGCGGCCTTAACCGGCAAAAGATAACCAGTTATTCATCACGTGGGCAAAGTGATCTTTAGTGAAATGAGATAAGTGATCACTGTGATGTTTGACAAAATTTT